TAATGGTATTGTTGATCAAAAACAGAAAAGGGCGGAACTGCTACATCTGGGTGGCCCGCAGCTGCAACGTGTATTCCACAATCTGCCGGATACAGAAAACTTTCCTTTGGTATCACTTGAGAAGCAATGGTACGATGTTGCAATTAATGCTCTAGATACATTCTTCCAGCCGTATCGACAGGACTGTTTGGAGAGATACAAGTTAAGACAAGTTAAGCAAAAGGAAGGAGAATGATTCGCTGATTTTGTTCTTCGGTTGCGACAGCAGATATCCGATTGTGGCTTTGACAAGTATCCGGAAGAAGTGAAGGTCGTGTTGGTGGAAATATTCCTAACCGACGCTGTTATTGAAGGCTGTCAATCACAAGAACTGCGGCGTAGAATACTGCAACAGGATCGGCCCTTTGCAGAAGTCGAATCATTGGGCGTCACTTTGGAAGGCATAGAGAATCAGATGAAAAGTTTCGGTGGAAGAAGTGAACAAGCGGAAATTAAACAGCAGGTACACAGAGTAAGCGATGAACCTGCCTTGTATACCAAGAAGAATTATCAACATTCTACTGGATTCAAGCGTAAATTTGAAGGAAAGGATGGATACAGTTGTTTTAACTGTGGACGCAAGGACCATATTTCATCATCTGAAACATGTCCAGCAAAAGGGAAGGTGTGTCATGCCTGTAAGCGAGTTGGACATTTTGAGTCATGTTGTCGCTCCAGAAAGTCAAACAGGAAAATTCATACTGCAACAAAAAAAAAGTACGAACCGTAACGGAATCCGAAAATAACCGGAAAGTCGTTCCAGTTGAACCAACAACGAAAACTTATTATAAGTTTGATTCTGGAAATGAAACCAATGTTGTTTCAAGTGGGGTTGGCGGTATCCAACTGGATTTACTTGTGGACTCCGGATCTGATGTGAATTTGATTCCTGATAACGCGTGGGAACATCTCAAGCAAGCGAATGTAACTGTTTATCAATGCGTCAAAGGAAGTGAAAAGGTTCTTAAAGGATATGCTAATGACAAACCTTTACTAATCATTGGTACTTTTGTGACGGATGTCAATGTTGGCAAGAAGGCTGTACGGGCTGAGTTTTTTGTAATCAAAGGAGGACAACGAAGCATCTTGGGAGATAAAACATCGAAGGAGTTGGGAATTTTGCAAGTGGGGCTGCATATCAATCGAGTTGTATCTAAGGTCGAATCGTTTCCCAAGATCAAGGATGTACAGGTGCAGATCCACACAGACCCAGAAATTAAACCTGTTTTCCAACCAATCAGGCGCATCCCAATACCCTTGGAGGTAGCGGTTGACAAAAAATTGGATCAACTCTTAGCGAAAGACATAATTGAGGTGAAACATGGTCCTGCCTCTTGGGTCTCACCCCTAGTAGTTGTTGGCAAAACCAATGGAGAACCAAGGATTTGCCTTGACTACTGCGAGTTAACAAAGCTGTCCTTCGAGAACGTCACCCTATGCCTGTTGTAGATGAGTACCTGGCCAGGTTGGGCAAAGGTAAACTTTGGAGCAAATTGGATATCAAAGATGCATTTCTACAGGTGAGCTGTTAAATTATTGTCAAGAAATATTTTCCAGCATCTGTTTTACATTTGTGTTTCATCAGGTTGAATTAGCTCCGGAATCAAGGGATATAACTACGTTCATTACGAGCAAAGGACTCTTCCGTTTTAAAAGGCTTCCTTTTGGTTTAGTTATAGCCCCTGAACTGTTCCAAAAAGTCATGGACCAAATATTAGCTGGGTGCACAGGTACGTACCTTGATGATGTAATAGTTGAAGGAAGGGACAAACAAGAACATGATGAGCGTTTAGAAGAGGTTTTAAGGCGTATGAAGGATAGGTCAGTGGAATTAAACTGGGAGAAGTGTGTGTTCTGTGCAGAGAAAGTTGAATTCCTGGGACACACGATTCCTGCTGATGGTATATTTCCTTCAATTACGAAAATTGATGCCATTTTATCGTTTCGTCAACCGGAAAGTGAGCCAGAGGTTCGAAGTTTCTTGGGTTTAGCGAACTATCTAAACAAATTTATACCGAATCTGGCCACTCTCGACGAGCCGATGCGAAAACATACAAGAAAGGGTTCTTACTTTCTTTGGACAAATGAGCACCAAAAATCTTTCCAACGTGTTAAAGCTGCAATGGCAAACGCGCAGAAGTTAGGGTTCTTTAATAAAGAAGACCGTACCGCAGTAATGGCTGACGCAAGTCCAACAGGGCTAGGAGCATTGCTACTACAAACAGATGCATCAGGGTGCAGTAGAATTGTTAACTGTGCATCCAAATCACTAACAGACACGGAAAAGAAATACTGCCAAACCGAAAAGGAGGCTTTAGCACAGATTGTAAGGCAATAGAGTACCTATTTACCGTGCGTTCCAGACCTTGCGCCAGAATTGAGCGGTGGGTTTTGAGAATTCAAGCATTCGATTACAAAGTAATCTACATACCTGGTGAGAAGAACATAGCGGATGTTTTGTCTCGGCTTGGAACACTTAAACCGGTCCCATTTGATTCTTCTGAGGAGCTTACTATCAAACAAGTGGCACAAGATGCTGCAACAACAGCTGCATTGGATTGCAAAGAGATTGTCAGTGCATCACGAGATGATACAGAAATACGTCATGTTTTGGAATGCTTGGATCAGAACAATTTCGAAGAGTTGCCGCTATCTTTTCGCATAGTAGCCAACGAACTTTGCCGTTGCGATGACGTTCTCTTAAGAACTGATAGGGTAGTAATACCAGCGGTTTTACGGGATCGGGTATTGCGTGTTGCTCACGAGGGACATATCGGAATGCGCATGATGAAATCCCATCTGCGAAGTGCTGTATGGTGGCCTAAAATGGATGCTGCGGTGGAAGAATTTGTTAAAAAATGTCGTTCGTGTATTCTGGTTGCTGCTCCTGAACCACCTATGCCAATGGTCCGTAAGGAAATGCCTTTTGGGCCCTGGGAAGAACTAGCTGTGGATTTCTTGGGTCCACTACCAGATGGCCATACGCTGTTTGTCGTTGTTGTATTACAGTCGTTTCATCGAGGTATGTGAAATGACGCAGACCACTGCAAAGGAAACAATTCTACAACTTTCGAGGATTTTCAGCCGATATGGTGTACCACTAACTTTGCGCGCTGACAATGGTCCACAGCTGAATACGACCTGCGAGGAGTTTAAAGGCTTCTGTCAGGACATGGGCATCCGGTTGATAAACACAATACCCTACTGGCCACAACAAAACGGAGAGGTTGAGCGACAAAACCGCTCCATATTAAAAAGATTGAAGATTGCTCAGGAATTGGGTCAAGATTGGAGAAAGGTCCTGGATCAGTACATATTGTCGTACCACTCAACTCCCCATCCGACCACTGGCCGGTCTCCTTTTGACTTAATGTTTGGAAGGAGGATTCGCAACAAACTTCCTCAAATACCTCGCGAAGTTCATTATGATGAAGGAGCTAGTGATTTTGACCGAACACAAAAGGAAAAGGGGAGGGTTTATGCAGACCACAAGCGAAGGGCTCACCAAAGTGACATCGAGGTGGGAGATCAGGTATTAGTAAAAATATTTAGAAAGGAAAATAAGCTAAGCACTGATTTTATTCCGGAAAAAAAACATATTGTTATACGACGATGCGGGGCAGATGTGACATTGCGATGTTTGAAAACTGGTAAAGAATGCCGCCGGAATATAGCGCACCTCAAGAAGTTTTTAGATATCACACCAGCAAGCTCAAGAGGCAGCTTAAGTGTTCCAAGGTCAGGACCTATTGAGAACACATTACATCCGGTTCCTGAAGACGAACGGCAATTGAACGTTAAAGGACCTACAGAAGATAATGGATCAAGCGACCATAGGCAACATGTGAAGCGTAATAGGAAGGAGCCCAGTAAGTTCAAGGATTATCTTCCGCACTAAAATTAAAGTGAAAGGGGGATTGTAGGGTCACAGCCCTCGTCGTAGTTCTATGGAATCGCACAGCTCTACCAAAGTGGCAACCCTGAAGGAGATGGCAGCACGGGAAAAGGAGAACAAAGATGGACGGAGAGTGAGTAGGTTCATATTGTTGAGGAAGCAGAATAAATACGGTGTATCAATTGAATTAATAGTTGTTTTAAATCAAGTCCGAACCCTACACTGACTAACCTAAACAATTTATGAAATTAGATCTGCCAAAATGAGTTTGACAGCGATTTGTTATGTATTTCCTCTGATTTTCACTAACATGCTCTCACATAGCGCACCAATACAAACGGACGTAAAAATCTCCATAAACATATTATACTAGCATGTATTCTCGTCAGTGGTGCAGTCAGGATTTCGATCTAGGGATTTTTCTTAAATTAACTGCCAAGAAAATCATTTTTTTTAAATGAAATACCACTGGAAATCAACTTCTAAAAAATTCACCAAAAATTCCGTTTCTCAGCTCTAGGGAAGCTACCACGATTTCTTGCGATGCAGCTAAAAATGACATGCTAAATATAAAAAAAAATATTAAAGAAAGCCCACCGACCAGCAAACCATTTCTGGGAACTTACTCTGCTTAGAATTATCAATAATTTTGAGAGATTTCCAGCCGAAGAAATCCGAGAGAAATTGCTGAAAGTTGGGGGAATTCAAACACATTTTTTTAGGTAAACAAAAGTACTTAAAATTGTTGTGGAGGTTGTAAATTGATGTAAATGGAATTGTAAATGGAGGTTGTTGTCCGTAAGAAGAAAAAAACGCACGAAACACCATGCACCCCATGCACTCGCTTGGTATTCATATTTCATTCATATCGGGTTCATCGCTTGAAAGCATTCGAAGACTTCGATTGAACGCCTAAATGCTTGCTCCCAGAATTACACGTTCGCACTTCATATCGTGCTGCATGGGACATAGCTAAAAACATGACGTCACCTCCAATACACTGAAAGCTACCTGTCTGACTGCTGCTGTCAAATTGTACTGGCTTCTCGCGTAAAGGAGGGCGTGCCTTTGAAAACTGTCATTAGCAATCGTACTGCTGTTTATTGCTTGTTGATTCATAGATTTTTGTGTTATTTTAGTAGCAAAATAAATTCCAACACGGTTGCATTTTTGTGTTCAATCTCTCATTATTACGTTGTTAGTGTAGTTACGAGTCCAAAAGGCACAAATAATGGATTCGTCAAAAATAGTGGCGACTTTGGTTCTGGCGTTTGCTTTATTCAATACATGTAAGTAATTTGTAATTTGTTGTTTTATTTGTCACGATAGCCTGTGAGTATAAACTGTGTATCATGGCAAGGAAAGTAGCCTTCCTGCTTCGATAAATTCTTCCGCCTTGCTGCGGGTTGAGAACAGAACAGAAAAAACCTGCTTTTTGGTCGGTAGCTACCTACCCACAGGAGGAATGTTGCTTGCTACTACCCTTATTAAAAGCAAGCAGTTTCAATGTGAAATTATCATTAATTCAAGGTTCCGCCATGGAGTGCTACGTGTGCTCGAACCAGACGGGTAACAGGGAAAAGTGCCTCAATACCATCAAGACGTGCAACCAGGGCGAGGAGGCTTGTCTGACGGAGATCCGGTGGGGCAGTACGCCGTACTTTTCCCTCGGGGCGCTGAACCAGTTCTACGTCTCGAAGCGATGTGCCTCCAAGGATGTTTGTGAAAAGACCCGCCGGAAGTATATGCCCTACTGTTCGCACATATGGTACAACGACTGGACCTGCTCGGAGTGTTGCCTGGGGGAACGGTGCAACTACTATGTGATTGTGAGTGTTGTAAACATAATTTCGACTAGCGTGAATTGCGTACTCATGATTACAATCGTTTCGATTTTAGAGCGGAGCTCCACCACAAACCATGTCGCTGGCAGCATTCCTAGGAACGATGCTAAGTCTTTTGGTGGCCAGATATTTGTACAATATCTAATCGATGGCGTCGTTGCCATTTTTTTGGTAGTCCAAATACCTCACCGGTGCCGGTTGAGAGCAGCCAAATCAAAACAATCCAATCGTAGCCGACGAGTTAGGGATATGTTCACGTAAGTGCCTCAACGTAGATAGATTTATTTAGATTTGAGCACATGAATCTCGAGATAACATTCGAAAAAACTAAATGAAATCCGTCCATAATCATTCGATTGTAGCGAATCGTCCACTATTTTAGCATGAGATACAACCATTAATCGTGGAATCCATATTTTTTTTTAAATTAAGAACATTCCATATCGTAGTTTATACTAGTTTAAGTTAAGAAGTGACAAAAACACGTTCTCGTTGTACTATGTATAAATCAAAGCATAGGAATAAAAGAATAACATTCGAAGTGGGTTTATTTAGTCTAATGAGAACTATTCCTGCCCAACGTACAGAGAGAGGCTTCCAGTGCACGATTCAGCTTGGACCCATGCAGCAAAAGTTATTCTTAGAAATCGTTTTCATCGCATCGAATGTGTTTGTAAGTAGTAATGTAAACAAATTCCACAGGTTGTTGTGTTGTTAGCGCAAAAAAGATCATCTGTTTCCGCACGGGTTCGAACCGGGGACCTTCTGCGTGTGAAGCAGACGTGATAACCACTACACTACGGAAACCGATGGATATTGGGTTGGCAAATGGCGTACAGGTTTCGAGGTGTTTGACACATGCTGATAATCGACGTCTTTTATTGTTAATATAATCAGATTATTAGTCGAATTTTATGATTTTATCAAATTACGTGCTCTGCGCAGTGCAGCTCGAAAACAATCGATCCGATGACTGTGTCGCTTTGAAAGTGTTTTTTCCTACATTGTAAGTAGTAAGTAGCTTCCGGTGTATGTAAGTGACTGACTGGTGAGAAACGCAAACGCGTTCAATCCAGCTGATCTTACCTGTTTGGTGGCGTGGAAACTCTCTATACTTATCTCGCATTGCTTTTACATATCCGTTATGAGAATTTTGTCTAGGTATAATAACCGCACAATAGCCCCAGCAATTACTTTAGGGAATTAATACTATTCACTGCAGCTAATTGATTCACATTTCCCTCCGGAGGCGAACCAGCCTGATTCTTATTTACCTAATCAATTACCAAGCGTCGGTTAGAATGTTAATGAGCATTATTTAGAGCGAGATTTAGCGCGTATTTAACTTTAAAATGTTTTTAATTGCTGGCTCTGTAGATCGATTGCATTATAGAAAAATAAATAGATCAGCTGCCTCTTCTATCAGTAAAATGTCACTTTTTGTTCTGTGAATGCCATATTGAATTTAAATCTTTTTTAGGTATCTAAACCGAATTATTAGAATTCTACGTACAACTCAGAACTGAAGGAATTCTAGAGACATATGAAACCAGCTATCAAAATCTCACCAGCTATCCTATTATTTTTCAATTACGAGCTACATCTAGATAAAAATCTCACAGCTTAGCGCCAATGCTTATGTGAGAAGTGATTCAAGATGATCGAACGATAAAGAACGAACATTCTCGCTGACAAGTGGTTGAGTTGCAGAAAATTGTCAGTTGTTTCTTCCTCGAACATCTAGTTACAGCTTTAATATGACATGAAAAACAAATTTTTCGGCCAAAGGCCCGGATAGCACCATAGGTGTCACATCAATCGACATGACGCGATCGGAATACGTCTCTCTGTGTGTATATGTATGTGTGAAAAATTGCAAAAGATACAGGCTGTGTTTGCCATTTGGTGAATTTTCACTTAAATTGGACACTTCACTTGGCGGCTTTGTGCGGGGATGCGGATAAATGGAGTGTTGAAGAGTCGTAGCAAGCATTGGAAATGCAACATCTTTCCTTTGCTATGTATTTTCCTTAGCAATCACTATATTGTATTCACCTGAAATAAAGAACAAGGAGTCCACGTAGCATATGAGATTTGGCTAAATTGGTTCCAACATGGAATATCTCGTGATCCTGAACTGTCTTCGGAAATTGTTGTTCACCTTATGCTTGGTGGACAGCAGTTCAGAATTTTCTCCCTACGCGGCGCTAGTGTGCATGTGTATTTTCTGCTTGATATATCTTGATGTTATGAGATCCTGGCCATCTACAATTTTTCTGTCTTGAGAAAAGTTGTGCTGGTGATCAAGACCTTAATACGGGCTAACCTGGGCAGTTTAGTTGGGAATTCATTCACTATCCGGCGCTGGTGCTCAAGTGGGTACAAGTATGTATGTTTTGTGTCAGTCCGTCTGCGGATGTCACGAAAGGAGCTCGACAAACTGTTAGTCGCTATTGAAGGTCGACTTGACTGACTCGTAATCAGGGATGGAAAATCATTTACATTCAATTCGTGCATTCATTTACATTCATTTGCCTCTATCTTTTTTCATCAACAGAATACCGTTAAATAATGTATGAAGCTTTTGTAGCTTTTGATATTAACTACAACTTTTGTTAGTAACTTAAATCTGAATCTCTTATGCATGATGAAATAGAGCTGACAGAACATGTCGCTCTGATTCATCATGCATAAGAGATACAGATTTGAGTTGTTTGCAAAAGGTGTAGCTAATATCAAAACCTACAAAAGATTCAAACACTATTGTACGGAATTCTGTTGATGAAAAAAGTTAGAGGCAAATGAATGTAAATGAATGCACGAAATGAATGTAAATGATTTGCTATCCCTGCTCGTAATATCGAAATTTTCAATTTTGACCAGGTTTCGACCACTTATAATTTTGTCAATAGCGGATGGATTTTAATTCTGAACAAGTCAATCGAAATGTTTCCACGAATTTGCTAAAATTAAAATTTTATCAATTTTCAATAGGTCACTATTGGAACTTACACAAATGTCCAATCAAAATTATCACCGATTGCCTGCAAAAAGCGCTTTCTCTAACACAGATATCAAAATTGAATCCCATCCGGTCTCGCCGAACGGTGTTTATTCAATCACCGCGTGTGGTTGTGGTATCCGGTCGCCATCAGCAGCAGCAGCAGTGCTTTTGGCGCGTGGCGTTGTACTTTTTACTTCAGTTCACAACAAAAGGCTCACCGCAAGCAGCTAGCTATCAAGGCTGCCCACAAGAGCCCTCGATTCACCGAAGAAGGAGGAAGAAACCGCACCGCTACTGATCGGATTCAGTTGCTCGACGTGAGCCGCTGTGGGCCAAGCGCGTCACCCTCGTTCCAAACAACATACAGTTCGTCAGACTCATCCGTGTTGAACACCCTAATAGCTCAGCATTACTTAACTATCACGACAAGACTGTTCTCATAAGGACCACCATAAATTATTGTTGCTTAAGAGTTAATTTTAATTGAACGTTTATATGATTGATCACGAATATCTCGCGATTGGAAATTTTAGCAAGAAATCCTTCAACCTGTGCGTTTTGTGCACGAAAATGCGTAGTTTGGCATCAGAAAACGAGGCATTTCCGTAATGGAAAAAAAGTGGTTTCCCTAACATAGTCGCTGAATATTGATACCGAGCACGTAATCCTACGTCAACTCTACGGTCGTGTTTTGAATTCAACCTCTCACTTTTCTTCGTCCTTCTCTACTTGTAACTCTACCTTACGCATAACGCATTAGATACATACATTACATTCACGCATCAATCTTAGGTTTTTGAAGCTTAAGTTTTTGAGAATTAAATGCATGCCGATAGGTATTGTAATGAATTGGTGTGAAATTATCCACTTAACACTGATTCTGGTATAGTTCATACATACGCTGGATGTTTAAATCAGACGATAAGTAGAGCCTTGATGATTTATCGCAATCGTAGTGGCTTTCTTCAGCCGGAAATGACTTGATGTGCTTAAGGTGATTCCTTGTAGAGGCCACAAATGGCCGCCACGTAAGCTATAATTGCACTTCCACCTTGAATTTTCAATTACACAAATCTCGGAAATTAGAGTTCCATTTCACCTGAAACTGCAACTGCATGTATGTTACAGTGCAGCAAACGTAGAGTAATAGTTTTATTGTAGTACGTGTCGTGGAAGCAAACATTTGTTCACCTAAAATTTCGAAGTGGTAGTGAGAATAAGGATCTCACAGCGAACCACCTTAAGGTTCAATTTACTTTGATGCATTTTTTAAAAATTCAAAAGCAGTTTTTTTCGACGCATTCTTTTGGATTGCAAAAACCGCGCGTCACTTTGTGTAAAATATCAAAAGGATTCGAATAGTGCGAGCTTTTGGCAATCTGCAATAATAATTTGGAAAAAAACTGCTTTTCCAAAAAGCATCAAAGTAAATTGAACCTTAATGATGTAGTCTGCGCGCTCCGGACTAATTTGTTTTCGAGAACAATAAACGATTTTTTTGTTTACCCTAGGACGAACCGCATTGATGACGGCTATGTGACTGGACAAAAACTGTTTCTGTCCGGATTGAGTCAACGTCAGCAGCTTTAATAGCAGATTCTGTAGGACAGGTTCAGGAAATTTGCCATAACACCGCATTTTGCATCCAACCGGCTTGGACAACAATCCGTCAATCCTTTTATAAGAAAAACCTTTTTCTTCAAGAATTCGGTTCCTCTTTCGCATCTTTGATTTTTTCCTGAGGCTCCCTATAAGCTTCGTCTTCTCCAGCAGAAGAAGCACCGCATTCATGGTCCGACAGAACATTATTTTTAAATTTCTCAAAATATTCTTAGACGGATAAGTCATTTAACTGACTAGCGTCGCCATCTAGCATCCATCTGGCGTCATCCGTGTAGTCATTGTCAGATTCTGGTTCAGAAGCTCAACGTTATTTTCAATCAGATTAGGTTGACCAAGTTGATCCATATCAACGTCAACACCAATCTTCCTCACTTTACAATATCGATCGTAATCATGTGGTACCATATGCCGCTTAGTGAAGTTCAACGGTTTGTACAACCGCAATTTGCGGTCGCTGATTGTGGGGCTACTAGAAATGTCTGGATGAGTGAGATTCGCCCAAAATCCCTGGATGCTTCCCGG